TTCCACACGTAAAAAAAAAAAAAAGGGGGGCAGCGAGCGCGAGCGACGGGCGAGGGGGGCAGCGAGCGCGAGCGACGCGCGGGCGACCCGAGACAAACATATGACGCCTAAAAATGACTTATGTCCCCTTGCTGTTTTGGTGGCAGGAAGATGATGCGCTATCATTTCCACACCACCTTGCGGTAGATGCATGGTGTGCTTTTTTTATAGTGGTTTCCCCAGTAGGCCTAATCCACTCTCATAATTTAATGCAAAAATTGCTCAAAGTGCCGTCCTCCTTCACGTACGCAGAATTCGGCCCTTCGAACAATGTCGCGCGTTGCACGTTGCACCATGTCCGGCGTAATGGTACGGAAGGCCGCTATAATAGCTTCGCGTACTTCGTTTTCTGTACCAGTACGCTGATTTTCTGTTAGACTTTTTATATGACCCCATATGAAAAAGTCCATCGCGTTAAGGTCTGGCGACCGTGCTGGCCAACTGATCGGGCCACCACAACCTATCCATCTATGTGGATAACATCTATTTAAAATATCGCGAACTTCTCGACGAAAATGCGCGGGAGCTCCATCGTGCTGAAATATTAATTGTGCTCGCACGCGAAGAGGCACATTTTCGAGGAGCTCTGGTAAAATATTTGTTAAAAAGTTCGCGTAAATTTCGCCATTTAGACGCGGCAGGAGGAAATACGGACCGAACTGAAAATTTTAAACGAAAATCTTTAGTCCCATTAGTTTAAAAAAATTGTTTTATTTTTACGGATTACACTTACCACTTGATTCCCGATTATTCCAGCCCAAACATTAATGGACCAGCGATATTGAAACGCGCACTCACGAACGACGCGAGGATTTTCTTCACTCCAGTATAAATAATTTCTAGAGTTGAATATACCGTTTGGGGTGAACGTTGATTCATCGGTCCATAAAATATTGTCCGGGAAAAGTAAATTACCTCGACATTGCGCGAGGAGTCCTGCATGAAATTCACCGACAATTAAATTACTGTACATTTATCAAAGTGCGTAAATATTAAATAATAGCAGACCTTCACAAAAATTGATCCGTTGTTGAAAGTCTCTCGGCAAAAGTTGTTGCACACGCTGGTAATGGAACGGATGCAATCTATTCTCTCGCAAAGTCTGATGCACCGCGAACCTGGAAAGTCCCAGTTCGTGAGCCGCACGACGCACGCTGGTTCCGGGGTTTTCATAAAACATGTCCAGTACTCTCTCTTCGTCTGGAACACCACGGCGCACTGGTACATCTTTCGTCTTATGCACGAGACACCCTGTTTCACGCAATCGTTGCACAACGCGAAAAATCGTATCCTTAGTCGGATGTGCACGCTCGGGAAATCGTTCCGCATAGATTCGAATAGCGCGGGGAAACTTTCAGAAAAACAGCTGAAAGCTTCCCCGCTATATTTTCTTGTTTCCGAATGTCAATTGTTTCTTCCTGAGCTCGTGAACACGATCGTCAAGAGCTTAGTCGCGTACGAATCTCGACTCGTATTGTGCTGGACAGCGACAATGCGATTTACTACAGAAGAGTATACCGACATGATAGTGGCCTACGGGCTAGCGGGCGAAAGTAAGCGTGCCGCGGCTCGAATCTATGCGGAACGATTTCCCGAGCGTGCACATTCGACTAAGGATACGATTTTTCGCGTTGTGAAACGATTGCGTGAAACAGGGTGTCTCGTGCATAAGACGAAAGATGTACCAGTGCGCCGTGGTGTTCCAGACGAAGAGAGAGTACTGGACATGTTTTATGAAAACCCCGGAACCAGCGTGCGTCGTGCGGCTCACGAACTGGGACTTTCCAGGTACGCGGTGCATCAGACTTTGCGAGAGAATAGATTGCATCCGTTCCATTACCAGCGTGTGCAACAACTTTTGCCAAGAGATTTTCAACAACGGATCAATTTTTGTGAAGGTCTGCTATTATTTAATATTTACGGCACTTTGATAAATGTAGAGTAATTTAATTGTCGGTGAATTACATGCAGGATTCCTCGCGCAATGTCGAGATAATTTATTTTTCCCGGACATTATTTTATAGACCGATGAATCCACTTTTGCCCCAAACGGTATTTGTTTCAAATTCAATTCAACTCACGAAATTATTTATGCTGGGGTGAAGAAAATCCTCGCGTCGTTCGTGAGAGCGCGTTTCAATATCACTGGTCCATTAATGTTTCGGCTGGAATAATCGGGAATCAAGTGGTAAGTGTAAACCGTATAAATAAAACAATTTTTCTTTCGCTAGTTGGACTAAAGATTTTTGTTTTAAATTTTCAGATTGGCCCGTATTTCCTCTCGCCGCGTCTAAATGGCGAAATTCTTAACAAATAAATTACCAGAGCTCCTCGAAAATGTGTCTCTTCGCGTGCAAGCACAACTAATATTTTAGCACGATGGAGCTCCCGCCCATTTTCGCCGAGAAGTTTGCGATATTCTAAACAGATGTTATCCACATAGATGGATAGGTCGTGGTGGCCCGATCAGTTGGACAGCACGGTCGCCAGACCTTAACGCGATGGATTTTTTCATATGGGGTCATATGAAAAGTCTAACAGAAAATCAGCGTACTGGTACAGAAAACGAAGTACGCGAAGCTATTATAGCGGCCTTGCGTACCATTGCGCCGGACATAGTGCAACGTGCGACGCGCGATATTGTTCGAAGGGCCGAACTCTGCGTACGTGAAGGAGGACGGCACTTTAAGCAATTTTTGCATTAAATTATGAGAGTGGATTAGGCCTACTGGGGAAACCACTATAAAAAAAGCACACCATGCTATCTACCGCAAGGTGGTGTGGAAATGATAGCGCATCATTTTCCTGCCACCGAAAGAGCAAGGGGGACATAATTAATTTTTAGGCGTCATATGTTGGCTCGGGTCGCCGTCGCTCGCGCTCGCTGCCCCCCTCGCCTCCCGCGCCACGCTCGCTCGTCGCTCGCGCTCGCTGCCGCGCTCGCCGCCCGCGCCGCGCTCCCCGCCGCGCCTAGGTTTTTTTCCCACCACGGTGTATCTCGCGCGTCGCTCCACCTCCCGCTCATCGATCGATTTTCTTAAATGCCTTCCGAGTCCGGCCTACCGTCTCCTGCATCCTCATT